CTCCGCGCAACAGCGCGGGCTCGAATCGTCGAGTCGAGCCTTCCTCGCGTGGATGTGGGACGTGCATCGCCATTTCCGAATTCCAGCCGGTACGTACGTTTTATGGCTCGCGCGAGTTACAGGACTTTTATTTTATCCAATAAATGTATATTACGGCAAAGGTCAAAAGTTCGGGTCGGCATTACGGGGCCGCGGGCACCGATTATCGCGCGCATCCCCCGGGAGAACAATAGTCGTGCCTACTAGGAAACCAGGTTTTACTAGTGTAATCGTTAACGCGAACCATGGCTTTTTACCCGACTTGAAAATGTATGAAACCACTGCCGCATATAAGCCCCGCGTGTGCAGCCAAGATTTCATTTGCGCCTCGCGTAACTACGTGCTTTATGGTTCTCTCCTCCTGGACATTTGAATCCGACCACGGTGAACTCTATACTTGACTTCTGCTCGAACTAATACCCAGTCTCCGTTGCATGCGCTACGGAATTCGGGAGGTGAGGATCTACGGCCTCGTGCATGCCGCACGACTAAAACTTGCCTTGCTGCACGAATGCACCGGGCGACGTGCGAGGCGTCGTTATCGCTCGCGCGAATGTCCCGGGGTGATCCGCGTTTCGTTAATCCCTGACGTGGCGGGGACTTTATCGAGCTCCTCCAGATATTAGCCGGGCCCCCTGGGACCTGGGCGTGAAACCCACACCGCTAATATTCGACCTCTCGAATTATTTTCCAACCTTTGTCGGAACCCGAACTACCGCCACAGATGACTAGAAATGTCTTACCGGACGTCTCGACAAAGGACAGATCGGGTGGTTTCGACATGCGTAATTTTCCTCTTTGCGACAGGGTGGCTGATACTTGGTGGAAATTTACCCGACGACGGTCGTTCGGCTCTGTGCAAGAAAAGCCGCTTACGAAATAAATTGTGCGTATACGTCGTGCCACGGTTGATCAAAGAGTACTCCGAAATTTAATCGCAACGACGAGTAATCGGGGGGGGGGGGGGAAGCGGGGCGTCGGTGGGAGATCGCATTCAAGGTTTCGCGGTGCAACGCCTCTCTGCGCGTGGTGCACTTAAAATGCAAGGCACGGGAGATGCACCCGCCGCGCAGCCGCAACGATTGCACGCGTGATGCGTGCAATGCGAGTGATCTGCGCATTCCTCGAAATCAGGCGCGAATTTGTACCGCATTGACTAATGCTCTGTACATTAGCCTCTTTAAACAACGCAACGGTGTGCCTTTCCCAGAAATAGAACATTTAATTCGAGTTGGCCCGATACCGTCAAATGTCTAGCTTATTTGTCGCGGCCTGCCGAGGTAGGAGTAATTAATACACTCGAGTGCGCAAATCAAATTGCACCGTAGGATAAAATTGGAGAGAAGTTGTTTCCATCCCGGGTGAACGCCGACGGTGACGAGTGCGGCTGTCGGTACTTGGTATGCAATTCTCGAGGAGAGTGACGGTCGAAATCACGAGGTTTCGGGGAGCTGCGAAGCTGGATGAGCTTATTAGATCCTTAAATGTAGGATCCATCCGGCGAGTCTTCCACGTGAAACTTTCGCCGTTCCCAGGGTGGTCTTTTCCCGAGACTCCGTCGCGTGCAGCCGCGGAATCGAATTATCGCGCCTTAACGACGAGGGGAAATAAACTCGCGGGCTCTTCCCGTCAAGGCACCGACGACGCCGTTCATCCCCGATGCAAATCTTCCGGCGAACGAGCGAAATCCTTTGCGATTGGTTGCGGCGCCGCGAAGTTTTCCTCCCCGTCCGCGATGCTTAAACCAAAGGGGAAGGAAGGTGCAGGAAGGAATGCCATTTGTTCCGCGAACTAATGAGCCACTTGTCATTGTACCTGCCCTCCTCGGTCGAGGAATCAGTCAGGAAATTAATAGAAAACCATACGACACTCGTCGCGCCGCAGTCTCGAGGCAGCCGAGTGCTCTTTTTCCCGTGTCCTCCGCGAAATAAATGACTTCTCTCTCGCCGATTGTAAAACGACGTCGCCAAGTGCCGTTCGTTAATCACACGCCGTACAATAGCTCGGTACATTACGTTCCTTCGGCCATTTCGCTTTCCTGATACGTAACCCCATTAAATTCGTTAATACACGGCCGAGGATTTTCATCCAAGTCGGAACGATCAATCGCTTCAATTCCGACGATCCCAGTATCCACTGGTATTCGTAGGGATCAATCGTTAGTTCGATGGCATCTCGATTTTTGAGGTCGTCGTTATTCACGATTTATTTTGCAAGGAATTCGCGCAATTTCCCCTTTTTCCCCTTCGGCGGTGGGTCTACATGTCGCGGCCGATTTACCCTCTCGCATGCGAAGTTCTTTTTCTCCCCCGTCGGCGCTCTCGCGCGAGCTTTCGAATTTCCTTTATTTGACGTTTTCCTCCCCTTCCCTTTTGGGCGCACAAAGGCGCGCTATCGGCAAGGCTCGCGTTATCGCAGGGCGCGCCGCGGCATGACGACGGCGTCGCGACGCCCGGGCAATCGGTTTATGCAAACTTAATCGCCGACCACGCGCACACGCTCGCGTGAATATGAGCAAATATCAGCGCAGACTTCATTATCGAGTCGAGCCGAGACCGGGCGACGGACTCTCCCCTTTTATCGGGCCCGGGCCCGGGCCCGGGGATCCCGGAGGTGCCGGAAACGCCGGAAATGCCGGCTCTTTCAGCCACCCTCGATCAGCCAATTGGCCGAATCGACGCGTCCGTCATCCGTCAGGCTTTAATGGCCACCATTACGGAATTGAATTCACCCGACAGGACGATCGTGCAGCCGCTAAGACGAACAGCCGCCAGTCGCGGAATGGAAGGCGGAAGTGCTCCACGGAAAAAATAATAAAAGTGCAACGCCATATTCTACGTGTACTCGTGAAACGACGCGCGAAAAAGGCCAAGTGCGTTTCAGATGTCCGGATTAAGCGGATCGCAGTTATTGAATTATCCAAATTTTCCGCCTAAGTCGTCTTGGGAGATGCAGAAGAGAAGGGTTGCATTTTCAAATTTCCGTCAAGACAGTTGTGGGCACGTGCGTTAACTTCTGTAATGGTGATTTACTTCGGTTAACCATTTGTTGGCCGAATTTAATTTACCCTCTACTTTCGATCGAGGTAGAACTTTCCGAGCGGAATTCAGAAAGTCAACGTTTTACGTGGGGACTGAGGGTAAATATACGAGGAGAGTAAGTGAAAATTAAAAACGGAAAATGGAATTGTTCAGACCGCGGGAATACTATCCAGGTGGCAGCCGGAGTCGGTAGGGGCGCACGTACGATAGCGAGACTTATTTCCGCGGCGGTACGTTAAAATCGAAGTTCCAGCCGTTCTATCGTGATCTCTCGATCTCGACTTCGCCTCGAGGAAAGCCGCGATTCGACGGGGAACTCTTCTCGAAAACGAGCCGATTATTCGCGGGCATCGATCGATAGATCGGTGTAGATAAGCTAAAGGTACTCGTTACACGCTTACGAGTCCGCGTTCCGGCAACCTCCACGAATCACGAACCTAATCCAACCTACCGACGGAGAGAAGTGGATAATCTTTCTACCCTCGCCCCGAGACGGCTACGGGCTCTGAACCTCATACAGCCGTCCCTTGAGATCGATATCGCTTTTACGGCCACCGGAAAAGCTTTACGCCTCGCTACTGACGGACTTCTAGAATCCCCCGCCCTAAACATTATATCGCGACAATCGCGAACCGCGAGAAGCGCAGGGGACGGTCGGACATCTTTCCAAGATCGTCAATGAGTGATATCGAATTTAATATGGCTACCAAGCGCTAAGGTATCCACGTAGATTCTGCGGAAAACTATTATGAGTACAAAATCCATCCATATATTTAATAAAATAATAATTGCAGGAAAATTCGAATCCAATAATAACGGGATCCTGGTTTTTCTGCGCGGCTGCGAAATCTCCCCGGAGTGTTTTGGAGTAGCAGCGAAGCTTTCCTTATCTATGCGATTACGCAGATCGGATTAAGTTGTGATTCATAGTTATGTGCCGCACCTCGCGAGCCCGAGCTTGGTTACAGGTACCATACAGGGGAAATGGGTCAGAATGGGAGAAAATTATCTCTATCGTGTCTCGCTCTCGCGTATCACCTCTCTCCCGTGAAATACGGCCGGGCTCAAAATTAGGAACGGATGAGTAATCCCGAAAAATTGGAATTAACGCGAAGATTCCACCAGCGTGCTCGATCGTTGCGTGGGAAGGAAAAGAACATTGAGTTTTGCCGAGGGTTTTCGAAAATAGGGAGATACGAGCACTTGGCAAACGACGGCGGGTCTTGAAACGTTCACGACTCTCCTGGTCAGGGGTGTTCATAACGTCTGGATATATAATACATAAACGGGGAACCCGGAAACGTGACGGTCGTGACCGATTGATGGATATGGGCGTTGAATGAAGTCCCCTTCGCACGCGTATCCACCTATTTCTTCGAGTATTCCATGTATTTTAAACTTTAAGCACAGTCGTAAAAGAGGCCGCGTGACCTGGGGTAACTCCCCATAACTCGACAACCCCGGACGTTGTTATTCCCGATGACCTATCGATGTTCAAATGTTGCGACTTGAAGATCACTCCCTGGGAGTCGAACGCCCAAGTTAGGAACGGAACGTAAACGATTAATCTCAAGAAAGAAAAGAAAAATCTGTAAGGGTGGAAATATCCAACACGGCGTGCTCGTCTTGACGAGCGACAAGGGTCGAATCGCTGCGTTTTGCGGAACGAGGGTAGAAGATTCGAAGTTTCGTGAAATATTCCCGAATCTTGTCGGAGTGGAGGAGGGTGTCCAGAGCAGACATGGGTCAAGCGCTATTCTCCTCGCCTTTATCTCGGAGGACCCCCTACGAAGGACGACCCTCGAGGCGCCATGGCGGGGACGCGCGAAAGCGGCTCGGCTCGGCTCGGCTCGGCTCGGCGCATGCGAGCCACCCGAGGACGCGCGATGGCGCCCCTCGTGCCACTCTGCCAGTCCGCACCGAGATTCCGGCGCGAGGTGTCGTTTGTCACCGCGGAGTGTCAAGTCCTTGATGGATGTCGCTGATCCGACGCATCGTTCGCCTTGTACCAGCCACTTTCGCCATAGTGCTCGTCGCATCCCTTGCGGAAGGTTAGTGACTTGACCTCGTCGACCGGTAATCCCCGATTCGACATCGACGCGAGAAATTCAGGGGCAATTTAACAAGGGTCCAGTATTTTCCGTTTTTTAACGTTAAGTCAGGGACGATATTCCGCTACTTGGTCGGATTAATATTGACGTTAATTTTTATTGAGGTCGACTGCGAGGTAGAGCATCGTCATGTGCGATCGGTGGTTGGGTGCGTAATCGGGACACCTCTCCAACTTTCCAGGAATTTTGGAACTCCGTGGGTGGGAAGACTCGCAAGGTGCCTGCGGAAATGTAAGGACTTACGGGGAGGTAGCAGTCAATGGTCGATCGCGGTTTGGGCGACTATAGCTATCGGCTCACCCTTTTCCCGACAATGCCGGAGGTGTAAGGGGGTAATCCGCGATTCTCCCGGAAATCGTCGATTTCTCTCGTCTCTCTCGCTGGAGAACCCAGATTCCGTTACATTATTTATCCCGTCTCCGCTTTCGCAGAGTTTCGGGGTTCCTGGAGGGTGTTAGGGGTTGGTCCAAGCGTCTTTCGAACTCCGGATTCGGGCGAGCCCCGGATCCCCCGAAAAGGGAAAATTGGACGGTGCGCGGAAGTCGAAACGAGGTTCTTCGACCCTGCTAGCCGAGATCGCCGACATCTCCGTAATCTGCCCTTCGACGTCGGGACGATGCCGTGGACGACGCTATCTTCCGCCCTACGACATCTAATTCCAGCTGGGCGAAACGCGTTGCACGAGATATGAAACGAGACTCCGGCGGACCTTTAGCTTGGCACGAAATCCGTTTATTTGGGCCGAGCTCATCGGTTAGAACGGCAGAGGGAAGGAGCCACAACGTCCCGAGGAATCTCCCCGGAAATTTAGTGGTCCGAACGAATTCAGTACCTTTGGGGTGCACGACGGAGCCCAACTTGAGAATCGGACCAAGTGACCGCTCTGGCGAGTCGAGCACTCGCAATTCACGCCGACCCAAGTACTCGAGAACAGTCGCCTTCTTTCACGGCACGTTCGCACCTGCCTTCGTGTATCCCTAAGTGTCGCGAACGTAAACGCCCCTTCGAGGCTGCGGGGACAACGTATCCTTAACCACCGTAAAAACGAGCATGGCCATTCCGCGCGAAATTGCCTCCCAACGACTCGATCGGCTCCGCTGAGCTTCTCGAATCTTTGTCGAGGAATCTCTGCCGAAAACTCTGGAAACGAAAGCGACCAGAGACTCGCATCTCGTTCGCACCCAGGTGCTCTCAGCACGGGGAGACTCGAGCAAACGTTACGAACGTAAAGGGATCGTCATTGCAGAACTCGACTTTAAGCCAGCACGGACAATGTACCGTTAACTGCCGTAAACCATCCCGAGGCAAGTTTTGCTCGGAATTAGCTCGCGGCGTCGTGATTGACTCGTCCGAATTGATGCGAGCCATTGTTCGGTCGGGTCCATTGTACGCGCCGCCGTATGCCGCGGAAAGCCCATTAATAATATACACGCGTACTTTAGGGCCCCATTCGATTTGAAAATCAGACCCACGAGAGGGCCCGCCATGCCGGGGGCAAATAGATCCCCGATCGCACGCTTTCGTTTTCCACGTCGGGACATTTAAATTAAAAAATCTCGAGTATCTCGAGATTCGTTTCAGTTCGAGTTTAGTTTACTCTTGATCGCGAGTACGATTAGCGTGGGCGTTGAAGCGGATCGACGGGGATCCACAAGGCCGCTTTCTCCGCGTAGACGGGCGATCCGTCTCCGCTTTACAAAAATATTCCTCTCGCGTAATCCGATCTTTGCGGGTCTCGTGAGATCGGAGCCGACGTGATATTTTGCGAGAGAATCGGCGACCGCCTCCGCGCATCCGCCGCCGTGGAATAACGAGCCTCGGGGGTGGAGGGTTAATACTCCGAGAGTAGATTTTCACGGTATACACGCTCGACAGGTGGAGAAAAAAGAGGCACTGTAGTAAAGCGCGTTCGCGCAAAGCGAGTGGCTCTTAACCGTTCGAGGAGGTGACACCGCCCCCCGGGGAGAGCGAAAGGGGCGAGTCACGAGCAAATCTCAAAATCGGAGACGGTCGAGTTGGCCGGATAACGATTTTGGATTCCCTCGGTACCTCCGCGTGATTGGCCATGATTACACGAGAAGTGTCATAACTTCCTTCTCCTTTCGAATTAAACGTTTTTACTTGGATTGGCACGAGAGGTGGAGTCGGACGCAGAGGAACAAGAAATAACGAGGCCTCGTTGGAGCATCCCGTGCAATGCTCGATGAAGTTAATGGAACGTCGGGGGGAGCGAGGGAAATTGATAATAAGAAACGGGCCGCGACGTCGGGCGAGATCGTTTGTCTTGAGCAAGAGTCGAGATTCCGCGTGAGTCGTGCTCTCGTTAGCTTCGTCCTTGGCCAAAGAGGCGAATTCGCGCTGACGCGCGGAAACGATAGAGCCGGTTTAAATCTCCCCGGATAGTAGACTTCGAAAACGTTACGACCGCGGACAGGTTCGCGGAGACACAAATTTCTGAATGGGGCGTTCGTTGCAACGGAGACGTCTCGAGACGTTGGCGCTTATCGATGCGCCCCGAACGGTCGGATTCGCGAGTTGCCGTCTCCCGCTCTTTATTTCCCACTTTCGTTGCTAAGTTCGACGAATCCGGAATGGAAAATTGAGGCCCAGCGGGTCATTACGCTCGTCGCGCAGCGTTTTCCGATGCCCACGGGTTTTAGCTTTCCTCGTTGCCCTGACCTTTTTGGTCGGTTTTCTCGGGAATGTGCACGAAATCGCAGGGTACGCAGTGCTCGTTACGACTCCGCAAACGCGATGGCAGTGCCGAGGTTATAGCTCTCACAGGTGACCCGTGCCCTTGCTAACGACGCATAGTACATGGCCCCCGGAACGGTGCTTTGCCGAGATGGTCGTGTCTGAAAATGAAGCTTCTTACGTTGGCCTTCCTGCAGGATTTTCGATGGCGCGATTATCCCTCTGGGTTGGTCTGTGCGTCCTAGGAGTCTCCGCTCGCGATTCGACGCGCTCGGAAGAGACCGAGGAACGGTACGTTTTACCTTCTCGAAAAAAAGGCCAGCTCGACTCGCCATGCCGCGATATTAATATCCGATAAATTTAGCCCTTCATGCCGGTCCATAAACTTGCTCGTCGAGGACATATTTATTCCTGTTCTAGCATTTTATTGCTGGAAGTTTTGCCTGCAATAGTCGCACACGGAGCAGCTCGACGATCGCACGCGAGCCGCCAATCGCCCCATCGATTTCAATAATTCCGCCAACTTTACCGATTGGCGAATTTCACCTTTAACGGGATTTTCTGCATTAATGTGTCTCTCGAAGTGGACCGCTCGCGGGCTGAAATTCTTTCGCTACGAGTGGAGTATAAAAAAAAAAATATAAGTAACCGTTTCCGACATTCATTCGACAATTACAGTTTCACATTTTACTACGGGAATTTAAGGACGCCGGTAGAGTTTACGAGGCTATTTCTCGTGGCTATCCATATTATTCCTCGCGGTAATAACATTTACCGTCCTTAAACTCGAGAAAATAGCGCGGTACCCAATATTGTCATCAGCGCCTGGCCGTGTTTTACGTTTTTCGCACGCACCGGCGCGCTCATGCAGATTGCACCGACCACTTGTGCTCATTTTATTTCCGTGCGTTAGCTACTGTGGGCAAATGTAACTAACGTATCGAACTTTCGTCCGGAGGGCTAATTTATGGCGGTGGGATTACGGGAATAAAATGAAGGGGAATGCCCGGGAAACGGCAATCCTGCGGTGCGGCCAACCACAACCGGCCCGCTGTTTGGGCGTGGACGCTCAAGGGGGCCGAGTGTTTCTCGGTCTCTCCGAGGGGTGAAATATCAGTGCCAAGAGAAAGAAGCGGTCAAGCCTCGGGGGTTGACAAAAACGAGAGGTGGCAATAAAACTTCCTAGGTGCACGTACATCCACGTTCTTGACCGACGAACCGAACGATTCCGGACCAACGATTACGACCCCTGTTCGCGGCTATAAACCACCGCATTTATATACTTAGATACCTTGTCGATTTAATCGTCGCGATGTAATCGGCCCTTTTTAAAATTTAACGACTCCGCGGACACCCGATGTCGATAATAGGTTTCCCTCTCCCCAGGTTGCAAACACGTATAACTACCGGTCGAACACGTTCCTCTCGGTGCTAATTACATCGATATACTTGTGTAATTAGATTCATCGCTATGACTTAATGATCGCGTCCCGATCACATCTGATTTTGCTCCAATGTCCGTCCGGAATCCTCCGCATACGCGGAATAAAAAAACAACGGACGATCGCAAATTCGACCCGGCGATAATTGTCAGCTGACCCGCGCGGAAGATCGAGCTCGTTAGTCGAGCGCCAGCCGCGGACTCCGACTTACTCGGGTCGTGACGTACGGAAAGATAGATGGAAATTCGATTTCCCCCAGCGAATACGAGGCGTTTTATTCTCGGCCCCGAGGGCGACGGTCCGTTGCCGGAGATTTTGGCAACGCGAGACTTAGCACTTTCTGCCGCCATCAACGGTCCGTTTTCAGCGTTTCCGATTTTCTCCATCCCGGTCGCCCCGCGTTACGGCGGTTCGGAGAAGAATTTCGCTTTCATAATGGCCGGGACCTCTATTGGATTTATGCTAATACCCGCTCGTCGAGTAGCATCTCGAGGATTCGGTATTCCACGGGGAAGTCGGGCAAGCTGGAGAAACGAGCTCGCGGTAGTCTCGGCACCTGCGAGGGCCGACGAGCATTATGGGGCCGAAAGATTTAGAGGATGCGGAATCCGCGCTGCGGTTCCGCACGGCCGGATTCGCGCTCCTCGCGCGGCCCACCGCTGAAACATCGCCGCGGCCGTGTTGGCTGCACCTCGCCGGGTAGCAGATTGCGCTAATTAATGCTGATTGCCCGAACTAATAAATAACCGCATGAATAAACATTCTCGCGGGCGGCCTTTGGCGAGGGCGCGCGTCGGCCGCTCC